CCAGAACTGGTAAACTTGAGATGACTCCAGTCTATTACTGCTCCAAGTGCTCAGAGGCTTGGGTTCATCTAGCACCATCCCAAAATGCCATCCAGTCAGTCACTCTCTCCTGAAGTCATTTGGAATGGTGTCACTCAGCAGCTGCTGCAGCCTTCCACTTCCAGTGCTCTTCTCCACTGGTGAGTTTCTTTCTGGAGGCCTCCATGGTCCTCTGCTGTCACCACACTGCTGTTCGCTCAGGCCTCCAGTGTGGTGCCATGAGCTGGGAATGGAATTCAATGCAATTTTCAGAACTTTCCTTCCCTGGCTTTTGGGGATCCACCTTCCTCCTTCCCTTCCCCAAATTGCTATACTCTAGCATCTGGACTCTCAATCTTGGAGAGGCTCTATTTGTATCTATTAAAGAGAGAATTTTTATTAAGTTGAAAATTTGAAAGGACAGATCTAATTTCTCGTTATCATAGTGGAGGAGAAGGTTTCTTTTCTTTTTTCTTATTTTAATGAAGTATTTTATTTGTAGATTTGAAACTTTTTTGACTTAATATTAGTCACAGAGACTTGCTAGCAAGCTAGGTAAGCTAACAAGTGCTATACGACTGCACTGTATCCTAAACATTTAAAAATTTTTCTTTTGATGTAAGACCATGCTAAGTGCTCAGGCTGGGCTTAAAATTCTGATCCTCCTGTAATCCTTGCAGCTAGGATTACAAATTGTGTCACCACACTGACTTTTTAATTTTTAATATTAATTTTAACTATATAAATATATATATAAATGTAAGATTATGCACATGTGTGTATTTATATTAATTTTTAAAATTCTAGTTAAATTGATTTAAATTACATAAAGATGTGTATTTAGACATAAGATTCTCCATATATATGTATTTATGCTAATTTTAAAAATTCACATGAAATTGATCTTAACTATATAAAATATATAAAGACATGTAAGCATAAGATTACACATAACAATGAGATTCCATACGTTGTTTGATTGCATGTATATTGTGTAATATTTAAATCAAGTTGTCTGTCTCCTCAAACCGTGTTTCTTTGTGATGAGAACATCAGAAGTCTTTCTTCTTTTTTTGGAGATAAATAGTACATAATAGTTATCTAAAGTTTCTCCACTGTACAGTTAAGGGAGAAGATTTTCTTTGGCATGATTCGAATGCACTATATCCTGAAGGTGGAGCTCACATGACTATGTTACCAAAATTCTGAAAACTTGACTTAGTAAGTTTTACTGTTTACAACAGTGAATCTACTAGAAGGTATAATAGGAAAAACACTTGAAAAGAGAGATATCTGCTATCCTGAATAGAACTCTATAGAGCAAAATAAATAATACTAAGAATTAACAAACAGGCTTACAATAAAATAAAAAAACTTCTGCACAGCAAAGGAAATACCAAACTGAAGAGACAGCCTACAGGCTGGGAAAAATAATTTTGTCATCTACTCCTCTGATAGAGGAGTACTATCTATAATACATAAAGAACTCAAAAAAGTGGACATTCTCCCTCTTCTCTTCTCTCCCTTGCCTTTCTCCTCTCATATTCTTTGCTCTTTTCATTCCTTCCTGCCTGTCATGAGGTGAGCAGCTCTCCTGTACTACACTATTCCACCACAGTGTTTCTGCCTCATCATAGGCCAGAAAGCAGTGGAACCAGGTGACCATGGATTGAAACTTCTGAAACTGTGAGCCAGAATAAACTTTTTCTTTTGTAAGTTGATTTTATCAGGTATTTTGTCACAGAGGTGGAAAACCGGTACAGAAAATTGGTTTCAGGGCTGGGGGTTTAGCTCAGTGGTGTAAAAAACAAAATTGGTTTCTAACAGTAGGATCATTGCTATGACTGTGTTTAGCAATGTGCTTCAGAAGCCTTTGGAACTAGTTTGCAGGAGGAGTTCAGAGAGGTTTGGAGATACAGCAGTACCTTGGTCCATGAATGTTTTTGTTTAACAGAAGCATTTGGCAAAATTTTGTTTTTGTTTGCAAAGTCTGCATCGTGTGATGAACACAACTTCAGCTTTCCCACCACTAACACAAAAGCGACCATGTTTTCCAAAATGGTGGAACAAATTAATTTTGTCAACTGAGGTACCACTTTGTTACTTTTTGGTAAATAAATTGTCTATATTTTATCACTGCTCTGATACACTGTGTGATTCTCAGTTAAAAGGTGACAGACTAATCTGTTGGAGGGAATTTCATGGCAGAAAAATATTTAGGCTATGGCACGTGTATTTTTGGTTATTTTACAAAGAACTGTGAGCATAAAGCAGAGAATAAAGATTTGAAAAACTGGGAGCTTGGTAAAGTTGGTAAATCTGAGATTGAGGAAGGTATTGTTTAAAAGAGATTAGCACCAGAAAAAAAGAAGCCAAAACTTCACACTGGGAAAATAACATAACTCAAGGCATTTTAAGAATTAGCCATGCCCTACTCATCGCGGGCTCAAATTCTAAAAGTGTAAACTCATTTGAAAGACATTTCCTTTGGAAGAGGGCTCTGGGGTATCCTTCTTGCATAAGGCCAGCCACAACACTATTTTCTTGGAATTTGTTTCTCCATGCTCATCTGTGCAGGCACTCCGAGGCCACTGCAGCCATGATCTAAGTGAGCCTGGCTACTGTTTGCACTGATGACAGTACTCAGCATTCTCCTCATGGTTCTGGTTTTGCAAATATACAGAATGCAAGAGCTGTCACAGATTTCAAAGGAAGGTCTGGAAACCCCTGCAATCAGTTCCTGAGAGGGAAATGCATAAAGCGATGAGAGTGAAATGAAAGTTGCAGTGGAGGCTCCAAAAAGCAATGCCAGAGCATGGAACGTCTTCGTAGGAAAGCTGTCTGCAGTGAACAGAGCTAACTCAAGGGAGTGGTTATATGGTCTGTGGCCCAAAAGATCATACATAGTACTGGGGATGATCCCCAACCCCTTTGTAGTTTATATCAGCCAACTTGTGTCCCAGATGCAAGACATAGGACTATAGAACTTAATGTTTTCCCTGAAGTGTTTTGGTCCTTATTTAGTCTGAACCCTCTGTGGTATTGTACTATTCTCTACTCTTGGATTGGAACTGTTCACCTTGTGTCTGTGTTACCAGTGTATGGTAAAAATATGCAAGTAATTTTCAAGCTTTACAGTGGCTCATGGCTGAAAGTTAGCTTTCAGTCTGAGAGGAGAATTTTACTTGGACCTCTGAGCAATGCTGGAACTGTTAAGAGTGTGGGGACCATTGTAGATAGAGTAAATATATTTGCTTTGTGAGGTACACATGAGCTTGTGGGATCTAGGAGTGGGATTTTGTAGTTTGGATCTGGAATGTCCCCCAGTGACTTAGTTGAGGAGTTGGTGGCACTTCTGGGAGGTGAGTTCTTTTTAGAGAAACTGGGTCCCTGGGGAGCTGGCTTTGAAGGGTGGCCCTTTGTCCCCTTTTCTCTTCCCCTCCTGTCCTTCTTTTTTCCTTACTGTGCTTCTTTTTTCCTGTCCTCTCCTTTCTCCTTTTCTCCTCTCCTCTGCTGCCCTCTCCTTTCCTCTGGTCCTCCCCTCTCTCCCTGCTTTCTTCCTGGATGACATGAGGCAAGCTGCTTTCCTTAACCACATCCTTCTGTCACTGTGTCTCTGTCAGACCAACGCCTCAAGGCAGTGTGTAGCTGACCATGGACAGAAACCTGAAATCATGCACCATAGTAGAGTTTTCTTCCTTTCAGTTGACTTTCTCAGGTACTTTCCCACATCGACAGGAAGCTAACAAACATGGGATTCTAATTTCTAAAGGGAGGCCTCTGCATGCCCCCTCTTCTCCAGCATGTGAAACCTCTACAAAATTGCTTTTTATGTTTTGTCTGCTTTTATGGTTGTTTATAGGAGGATGATGTATTTAAGCAGCTAGCCCATCACAGGCTGTTCTTCATGAATGACTTTAACTTTTAAAAACAAAAATAGATTTATTTTCACATTTTGTAACCTATTCTTTCATTCTTTGTTTGCCTTATGGCCTTGTTCTAATTAAATTCATTTAAAGGGATTTTTTTGTAACTTGTTTACTAGAACATTTTAGACTTCATTTATAAACACAATATTTAGGTTTTAGTTTTACGTTTATTTACTTACTTATCTATTTACTTTTTTTGTATATGTCAGGGACTCACTTTGTAGCCCAGGCCTGCTTTGAAGTCTTGGTGTTGCCTTGCCTCAGCCTCCTGAGTGCTGGAATTGCCAGTGTGTGCTACCACACTAAGAAATACACAATTTTTGCTTTAAAGTCTTATAGTACTTGACTGTTGGTTAGATTTATTAATTGTTTTCATAGTCAATTTTAAATCTTCCTAAAATTTAAATATGTTTTTCCATTAAGGAAATGATTATATCCTTGCAAAAAATTGTTGAGTTTACATTGTCAGCTGACTGAACACACATAATGATCAGGGTTGTAAAATCTGTCTGAAGGTTTAATTCAGAGAAATGTTTTGCTTTGCCTTCATTGCCTGGCTAAGCCTCTTGAGATAAATAATATAAACTCAAAAGTTTAAAGCAAAAATACGTGGGATATGATGATGATCATGTTGTCTTTCCCTTCACTTAAATTGTATCATAATGTGCTTTTCAAGCCACATGTCTAACCAGCATTTATGTTTTTCCTACGTGCTGAGTTTTGAGTAATTTTTTTTTTCCTCTTAACTCTATATCCTGGGGATTGATGTGACAGATCATTGGAGAGCAGGTATTCAAGGTTGTATTTGTCTCCTGTTATCAGTTCTAGGGTTGTATGATCACAGTGATGATTTTCCAGGAAATTTACCCAAATATCAATGTTTTAAAAAATTAGTTTAAATTTTTTGTCACGTAAGGTTTATAGTCTTACTCACCTCTACTATTGACTTACTGTTGCTTTTCCTTTTACAGAAAAGCAGCAAATTTCAGGATGTCTTCCAGTGATGTCCAGATTTCTGTCCCAGTGTCAGAAAGTAACACTCTTCTCCCCAGGACGACCGCCAGCAACCCGCAGACATGGACTAAAAGCCTTGTGTTAAGTTTCCATAACATTTCCTATAGGGTAAAAGTGAAGCATGGCTCTCTACCTTGTCGGAAAACAATTGAGAAAGAAATACTATCAAATGTCAGGTAAGTGCCTAACTTTTTAAAAAGACTTTTAAAAATTGGCCTACTATAAATTTCACAGGTTTAGCCTATTAACAGTAAACTGCTATGAACACTTGCTTACAAATCTTTGCATAGGCTCATGATTTTACTTCTTTTGGCTAAACAAAAACTGAATGACCACTTGTTAAATGCAGGTTTAACATTGAAAGGAATTTACAAATTGTTTTAAAAATGGCTGCACCTGCATTGAGTTGTTACTATATTTTGGTAGAAAGAGATCTCATAGTATGATTTAAAGATATTTATTTATTCAACCACAAATATTGTTTATGATACTGGGGATTGAACCCAAGGCTGTCACACTGATCTATATCCCCAGCCATCATTTCATTTTTATTATGATAGGAGTTCTTGCTGTGTTGCCCAGGCTTGGTGGAAACTTGTGACCCTCCTGCCTCAACCTCCCAGGGTACTGAGCTTATAGGTATGAGCCACAAGGCCTGACCTGTTGAACACATTTTGAATGATTATTAGGTCCCTGGTGTTGTGCAAAATAGCCAGTGATCGAGCTATGTTCTCTGTTTTCAGCAAAGGATTGCGAAAACCGCAGCACCATCACTACATTACTCTAGTGTGATAAAAGGATTAAAAGAAATAATGTAAGCTGCCAACCCTAAATTGGGGAGTGAGGAACATGGTGTTTAAGAAAGCAAGATGCTGTGTGTATGTGTGAATGTAGGAAGGAGGGACATGCTCCATTAATCTCTTGTTCATAAAGCATACCAAGTCAAAGGACTGATTAGTATTCATTAAACTGCAAGAGATGTGACAGGAATCTTTGGGATGACTTTCATTTCATGTATTCAGTAGTCAGTGTGCTGCATGTTATAGGAGAGGGAAGGATAGGGAGGTAGTAGCCTTTTCAGGAATGTTTTATAGTAGAACAAATGAGAATTCAACAAATAGTGTTGAGCAATGGCCAAGGGCAAGCATGACTTATAAAGGGTGATAGAGGACAGAAGACAGGTGGGGAGATCCTGCCGTTATACATTATTGTTATTTTTTGTAATTTCAGGACTTAATGTCAAAGCAAGCAAAACCCAGGAACCTGTATAATTCTTTGTTTTAGCACATTCATGTCCAGTTTCTGGATGAATCATGTAACATTGTTTGCTTGACTTTATTTATTTAAATTTTTATTTTGAAGAGAATAATACCGAAAGAAATAAAACAGAATAGAGACAATCACAAGATAATGAATGTGATACAAGACTTCAAAACAAGGTGAAAGGAAACCAACAATGGCTTCGTGATGCCTCTTGCTATCTTTAAAATAACTTCCTATACCATTAGGCACAATTTCAAACAAAACAGAGCAGAAAAAAAATCCACTCAGCACCAAAACAATGAAAGCAATACAGGACTTCAAAACAAGACAATAGGAATACCACAGTGGCTACAATAATGCATCTTCTTGTCTTCAAAGCAGCTTCTTATACCATCAAACATAATAAAATCAAACAAAACAAAGTAGAATAAAATCATTCAAAAGGAAACAAGTAGACCGGAAGGTGAGTGTCCAGCTGAGCGGAGGCGGCCCTGCTGCCGCCTTTCCTGCCAGGGGCCCATACTACGACCTCTGGGGATTGGAAGGTGCACATCCAGCTGAGCGGAGGCCAGCCCTCCTGCCGCCTCTCCTGCCTGGGACCCATGCTACCACCTCTGGGGACCTGAAGGTGCGCATCCAGCTGAGCGGTGGTGACTCCGGTCTGGCCCTGAAACTGTGCAAATTGAGGAAGCTTTAGGCCTACCTGAGAGGAGCCTGGCAAGCCTCTTTTAATCCAGGGGCTCCGCTGCCCAAGGAGGGAGCTACTACATGAGGAGTACCCAGAGCCCAGGACATGAGTCAATTTACAACACAACCAGGGGAAACTCTGAAACAATACTTGAAACACAGTAATATAGGAAAATGACAAAATGAAAGACCAAAATGCAATCTCAAACACCCAGCCCATCCCCCCACGAAAGCCTAGGAGCCATGTACATAGAAGAAAATACATGCCATATACCTGAAATACCTGAAACAATAGTAACAGAAATAAAGAAGCGACTCCGGGAAGCTTTGAAGGAATTTAAACTAGAAATAATATATCAGGTAAAAGAAGAAATAATAAAAGAAATGAAGGAGATGCTGAACATATCTAAAGAAGACACAGCTAAAAAATTGGAGGAACTAAACATAAGGATAGAATCTCTGGATGAACAATATAAGAAACAAACAGAATATATAAAACAGATGCAAAGAGATATACAGGAAATCAAAAGCAACATTGAAAGTTGTAAAAACCACCTGAATGAATGCGAAGATAGAATTCCGGACCTCAAAGCTGAGATTGTAGCCAGTGAACAGGAAAGGAAAGATCTTTTAAAAACAATAAGAAATCAGGAGCTGCGCGGATCCGGAGCGCCTGCAGAAGCCCCTTCCTTTGTCTGGAGGAGGAAGGATCCTGGGTTCCTGAGGCACCTCGGCCTGTGCCCAGCCGCGCCTAGCCATCGGTGTGCAGAGGAGGAGCTGCGCGGATCTGGAGCGCCTGCAAAAGCCCCTTCCTTTGTCTGGAGGAGGAGGGATCCAGGGTTCCTGAGGCACCTCGGCCTGTGCCCAGCCGCGCCTAGCCATCGGTGTGCAGAGGAGGAGCTGCGCGGATCCGGAGCGCCTGCAGAAGCCCCTTCCTTTGTCTGGAGGAGGAGGGATCCCAGGTTCCTGAGGCACCTCGGCCTGTGCCCAGCCGCGCCTAGCCATCGGTGTGCAGAGGAGGAGCTGCGCGGATCCGGAGCGCCTGCAGAAGCCCCTTCCTTTGTCTGGAGGAGGAGGGATCCCGGGTTCCTGAGGCACCTCGGCCTGTGCCCAGCCGCGCCTAGCCATCGGTGTGCAGAGGAGGAGCTGCGCGGATCTGGAGCGCCTGCAGAAGCCCCTTCCTTTGTCTGGAGGAGGAGGGATCCCAGGTTCCTGAGGCACCTCGGCCTGTGCCCAGCCGCGCCTAGCCATCGGTGTGCAGAGGAGGAGCTGCGCGGATCCAGAGTGCCTGCAGAAGCCCCTTCCTTTGTCTGGAGGAGGAGGGATCCCAGGTTCCTGAGGCACCTCGGCCTGTGCCCAGCCGCGCATAGCCATCTGCGTGTAGAGGAGGAGCTGGGTGGATCCGGAGTGCCCGCAGGAGGCCCTTCCTTTGTCTGGAGGACTGTGGATATCTCTGCAAGCAGGGAGGGATCACAGGTTCCTGAGGCACTGCGGTCTGTGGTGAGTACCCTAACCCGGCTGCGATCCAAGAGCTGTGGATCTACCAAGGGGCAGGTGGGCGCACAGTGTCCCTGAGGCCCAGCTTGTCTGGAACCGCGGAGTTCTGAACAAGCAGAGGAGGGCCATTGGTTCTGCAGGCCCAATGGCCTGGGGTAGAGTGGTGCCAGAGTCTCAGTAGCTGCAAACATAGAAGGGGATTTTCAACAGATCCTGAGGAGGCTTTCAAATAACACTTGAAACACAGAAATACAGGAAAATGACAAAACGAAAGACCAAATTACAACCTCAAACCTCCAGCCCATCTCAGGAAACCCTAGGAGGAATGTATTTAGAAGAAAATATATCCCATCCTCCTCATATATCAGACACAATAGCTACTGAAGTTGACAAGCAACTCCAGGAAGCTTTAAAGAAATTCAAACTCGAAATAATATCCCAGATAAAAGAAGAAATGATAAAAGAAATGAAAGAGATTCTAAATATATCTAAAGAAAACACAGATAAAAAATTGGAGGAACTAAAGAAAAAGATAGAATCCCTAGATGAGCAATATAAGAAACAAACAATACATAATGCAGATGCACAGAGATATACAGGAAATAAAAAACTCCACTGAAAGTTGTAAAAACCGCCTTAATGAAAGTGAAGATAGAATTTCAGACCTTGAAGACAGGATTGCAGCTAGTGAACAGGAAAGGAAAGATCTTTTAAAAATAACAAGGAATCAGGAAACAACAATTCAACAACTGCAAGATGATGCAAAGAAGAATAACATAAGAATGATAGGCATTAATGAAAAAGAAGGAGACAACATAAAGGATATCAAGAGGATATTTAGAGAAGCAATAGCTGAAAACTTTCCAAGCATGAGATCAGAAACTGACATCAGGATCAGTGAAGCATATAGAACTCCAAATAGTCATAACCAAAATAAAACTACACCCAGGCATATAATAATCACCATCCCAGAAATCCAACACAAGAATAGATTATTAAAAGCTGTCAGAGAGAAAAGACAGATCACTTATAAAGGAAAACCTATCAGAATCACAGCAGACTTCTCATCACAAACAATAAAGTCAAGAAGAGCATGGAGTGAAGTATTCCAGATCCTAAAGCAAAATGATTTCCAACCTAGACTGATATATCCTGCAAAACTATCATTTAAAATAGATGGTGAAATACGATACTTACATGACAAAGAACAGCTGAAGAACTTCATGAACACCAAACCAACCCTGCAAAAAATATTGAAAGACAGTTTAGATACACAAAGGAAAAAACCACTAAGCAAAGCAAATAATTAAACAGAACAGAAAGATAAAGATGCAACAGCAGAGAGATAAGAATCCTACAATTAACCAACATTTAACAGTAATAACCATTAATGTAAATGGTCTCAATGCACCAATCAAAAGAAAGAGACTAGCAGAATGGATCAAGAAACAAAATCCAACCATATGCTGTTTACAGGAAACCCATCTAACCCAGAAGGATACTCACAGACTGAAAGTCAAAGGATGGAAAACAATTCTTTATGCAGCAGGAATCCAAAAAAAGGCAGGAGTAGCCATTCTGTTTGCAGACAACGTGAACTTTAAACCAACAATGACCATAAAGGATAAAGAAGGTCACTACATACTCGTAAGGGGAAAACTCCAAGAGGAAGAGATAACTATCTTAAATATATACGCACCAAACTCCAGAGCGCCCAGTTATATAAAACAATTATTAACAGAAATGAAAACTCAAATTATCAGTAACACAATTGTAACAGGAAACCTTAATACGCCATTGACACCAAGGGACAGATCGACCAGACAGAAAATGAGTAAAGAAATAACAGAACTGAATCATACCTGTGAACAAACGGGTTTGATAGACATATACAGAATGTTCCACCCAACAACATCAGAATACACATTCTTCTCAGCAGTACATGGATCATTTTCTAAAATAGACCATATATTAGCTCATAGAACACATTTAAACAAGTGCAAAAGAGCTGAAATCATCCCTTGCATGTTATCAGATCACAGCGCTCTGAAATTAGAAATTAACGATAAAAGATACTGCAAAAATCCCACAAACACATGGAAACTGAATAACACACTCTTGAGTAATCAGTGGGTCACAGAAGAAATTAAAGAAGAAATCAAACAATACCTAAAAGAAAATGAAAATGCAGATACAACTTACCGGAATCTGTGGGATGTAATGAAAACTGTCCTGAGAGGAAAATTTATTGCACTAAGTTCCCACATCAGGAAAACAGAACGAATACAAATAAATAACTTGATGCTACACCTCAAACAGCTAGAAAAAGAAGAGCAAGTCAAGCCCACAGCCAAAAGAAGAGAGGAAATTATAAAAATCAGAGCAGAAATCAATGCAATAGAGACTAAGAAAACAATCCAAAGGATCAACAAATCAAAGAGTTGGTTCTTTGAAAGAATAAATAAAATCGATAAGCCCCTAGCCAACCTTATTAAAAAAAGGGAAGAAAAAGCTCAAATTCATGCAATAAGAAATGAAAAAGGAGAAGTCACTACAGACCCAATAGAAATACAGAAGATCATCAACACCTATTTTGAAAACCTCTACTCTCAAAAGTTTGATAACACAGAAGAAATAGACAGTTTCTTAGAAGCATATGAAGTGCCAAAGCTAGATCAAGAGGATGTAAAATTGTTGAATAACCCAATCTCGGTTACTGAAATTGAAAATGTAATTAAGTCCTTTCCCACCAAGAAGAGCCCAGGCCCAGATGGATTCACTGCAGAATTCTACAAGAAATACAAAGAAGACCTAATGCCGACACTCCTCAAACTATTAAATGAAATTGAAAGGGAAGCAATCCTTCCTAAGTCATTCCTGGAAGCAAATATCACTCTAGTACCAAAACCTGAGAAAGACCCAAGTAAAAAAGAGACCGATATATAGACCGATCTCCCTAATGAACACAGATGCAAAAATCCTCAATAAAATATTGGCAAATAGGATCCAGCAAATCATCAAGAAGATTATACACCATGACCAAGTGGGATTCATCCCAGGAATGCAACGATGGTTCAACATACGCAAATCAATAAATGTAATCCACCATATCAATAAAGCCAAAAATAAGAATCACATGATCATTTCTATAGATGCAGAAAAAACCTTCGATAAGGTCCAACATTTATTCATGATAAAAACTCTACAGAAAATTGGAATAGATGGTCTTTACCTCAATATAATAAAGGCCATTTATGACAAACCAACAGCCAGCATCATACTAAATGGCCAAAAATTGAAAGCCTTTACTTTAAAATCAGGCACAAGACAAGGATGTCCTTTATCACCACTCCTATTTAATATAGTACTGGAAGTACTAGCCAGAGCAATTAGGCAAGAAAGAGAAATAAAAGGGGTAAAGATAGGAAAAGAAGAAGTTACGTTGTCATTGTTTGCAGATGACATGATACTCTACATAGAAGACCCCCTAAGCTCCATTGAAAGACTCTTAGATACAATAAATAAATTCAGTAATGTGGCTGGATACAAAATCAATACTCAGAAATCAATAGCATTCCTATACACAAACAACAAAACCACAGAGAGGGAAATAAGGGAAACTGGACTATTCACATTAGCAAGCAAAAAAATGAAATATTTAGGAATTACTCTTACGAAAGAAGTGAAAGACTTATACAGTGAAAACTATATTACACTGAAAAAAGAAATTGAAGATGATCTCAGAAAATGGAAAGACATCCCTTGCTCATGGATAGGAAGAACAAACATTGTGAAGATGGCCATTCTCCCAAAACTCTTATACAGATTCAATGTAATCCCAATAGTAATACCATCAACATACCTTATAGATCTAGAGAAATCACTCCTAAATTTCATCTGGAACCAGAAGAGACCTAGAATCGCAAAAGCAATTCTAAGCAGCAAGGACAAAGCAGGAGGCATCACAATCCCTGACTTGAAATTATACTACAAAGCAACAGTAGTAAAATCAACATGGTATTGGAATCAAAACAGAGCTGAAGATCAATGGAATAGATTAGAAGATACAACCACAACTACAAACACACTCAACCACCTTATCTTTGATAAAGGAGCCAAGCAGGTTCACTGGAAGAACGACAGTTTCTTTAATAAATGGTGCTGGAAAAACTGGCTCTCCATTTGCCAAAAACTAAAGCTATACCCATATCTATCACCATGTACTAAATTAAAATCTAAACGGGTCAAAGATCTGAATATTAAAACAGAAACGCTAAATCTATTGGAAGACAAATTGGGTAGAAACCTTGGAGACATAGGAGTAGGTAGAGAATTCATGAATAGGACTCAAACTGCACGGGAAATACTTCCCAGAATCAATAACTGGGACCACTTCTTATTAAAAAGTTTTTGCATGTCAAAAGAAATCTCCAGCATAGTGAAAAGAAAACCCACAAACTGGGAAAAGATTTTAGTGAACTCTCTCTCAGACAAGGGACTCTTGTATAAAACATATAAAGAATTAAAAAAACTCAGACCTCCAAAATTCAAAGATCCAATCCAAAAATGGGCATCTGAGATGAATACGCACTTCTCAGATGAAGAAATGCAAATGGCAAATAAATACATGAAAAAATGCTCATCATCATTGGTCATTAGAGAAATGCAAATTAAAACCACACTGAGATACCATCTCACTCCTGAAAGAATGGCCAGGATCAAGAAAACCAACAACAACAAATGCTGGAGAGGCTGTGGGGAAAAAGGAACTCTCCTGCACTGTTGGTGGGAGTGTAGACTGGTACAGCCTTTGTGGAGGTCTGTCTGGAGGTTTCTCAAAAATTTGGGATTGGAAATCCCATTAATTCCAGCTATTCCACTTCTAGGCATATTCCCAGAAGAACTGAAAGCATCATACCACAGGGATATATGTGCACCTATGTTTATAGCAGCACAATTTGTAATCGCCAGATCTTGGAAACAACCCAAGTGTCCATTAACTG